TTTCCAAACCTCTCCTAAAGTCACCCCAGTAATTACAGTAACCATCCAATACCCCCATGTATTTGTTTGACCCTATCGCTACCCCATCTCATACGGCTAATCAATACCTCATAACTAATTAAATGAATGAATTAATTGAGCTGGATGTGAGATGTAACAAACACAGGTAATGGCTGGGGGGCCCCTGAGGAGGGGTTTGGGACCTGAAGCTGTGTTCATCTAGCCGTCCAAGTAGGTATCAGTCACTTTTTGGAGAACAGAGGAAATACTCGTTATATTCTGTTGTGTTACTCTTGATTTACACATGTTCTAATGTAAAATTTTATTCTGAGCAAATACACCTTTACTACTCAGATAAACCACTTTAAACATTTCCTTGGACTGCCTAAGACTTTTGTGCTGTATTGCATAATGAAAAATTACACTGGGAAACATGAATATTCCAGCTAAATTATCCATACTTGGTTTTTCATATAATTTATTAACCTGGTAAAATCTGTTTTGTAGTGATGGACTGGCATCCTGTCCATGGTGTACCCCAGCCCCATGCCCTGTGACGGACTGGCATCTCTCCCAGGGAGTACCCCAGCCCCATGCCCTGTGACGGACTGGCATCTCTCCCAGGATGTACCCCAGCCCCATGCCCTGTGACGGACTGGCATCTCTCCTAGGGAGTACCCCAGCCCCATGCCCTGTGACGGACTGGCATCTCTCCCAGGGAATACCCCAGCCCCATGCCCTGTGACAGACTGGCATCTCTCCCAGGATGTACCCCAGCCTTGTGCCCTGCACTGCCTGCAATAGGCTCCAGCTCCCCCTGCCACACTGACCAGGATCAGCTGTTAATTTCGATAGTTGCATGAAATCTTTTTTTGTTATTGTTTTTACTGATTTAAAAATGTACCCTGTTAATAGTGTCTTACTGCTGGCAGTACAATTCCTCTTGCAAGAGTGGTCTAGGTATGAGGGTATTACATTTAAATACAAGATAAATTTATTCGACTTAATGTTATACAGCTTTGTCATCATTGTGATTTTGGTGTCTTTGTGATATATCTTCTCTTATTTTTTGTTGGGTATATATCTTTTCCAGGCAGACTTTAAAAACAAACACAAAGTACAAAATAACTTCCACTGGATGCAACATGGTCTAACCATCGGAATGTGCACGTACTTTCGCCTTAGTGTGTCATTGCTGACGAGTTAGTCGGTGTATCTTTACAAATAGACCACCATTGTCTTCAATTTTATCAGCCAACTCGTATCCTAAGTGCAGTGCAGCTGAGCCCAGTGCCCAGCTCCTGCATACCATACAGTGAAGTGCGCTGAGATCACAGACAATGCTGCCTCTGGCTGAGTGGCGGGATAAACGTGGTGTTTACATGCCCCTGAGATGTCTAACTGATATTAACACTCATGCATTCATGAAGGTTTATGTTGTGCATAAACAGCCATATCACAGTTTACCAGAGGTAGGAATTTCAGGTCCAGGAAGTACAAATCCAGGCCAAGGTTTTGTTTCAACCAACCAGTTGAGTATAAAGAGTCTCAGTCACAGTCCTCAGCTGGTTGGTCGAAACAAAACCTTGGCCTGGATTAGTACCTTCTGGACCTGAACTGTCCAACTCTGCAGTTAAGTTGATCTTCAGTCGATCATCAGCTGTTTATTAGACTAGAACATTTCTAGATGTGGTGTGTCCCTTTTCTGAAAAACTTTGCTATGGATTGTTGGATATCTTACCTATAAAAGAACAAAGAATTTTATGGAATAAAAAATGTGATACATTCTAAAACATTCCTAGTTCTGGCTCTGTTTCACAAGGTCCCATCGTTGGGGTCTCTGTGAACTATGTAACATTGTTACAGATCAATAGAACAATAAGGTCTATTATCTTAAAATGTGGTAGCACAGGTAAGTGTTTTGGCTCATTTTCTTCATACTTCTTGCTTGTCACCCACACTGATGGTAGCTATAACCTATATTTTTAACCTTATATATGTTTTATATATGTTCATATGTTTATATACTGTATGTTTATATGTTTAACTATTTGTTTACACCTTTAGATCAGTAAATCTAAAATAATGTAATTCAGCAAAATATATAAGTGCAATATACGTTACATAAAATAATTACAGAATATAGACCAAACAGGCATCCAAAAGCAAAATACAGGAATTATCAGTCCATTCCACACCAGATGTGTAATGACATATCTATGTTTGTAACAGCAAACATCTTTAACCATGGTAACTCATGCTACTATCATTGTCAATGGTGTAATTAAAATCATTGTTGCGGGGGCGGACGGGTTCCTTTTGTGGAAATGGTGGAAGAATGTCTCCTCTTACTTGATCTGTGATTTAATAAAGCTGCCACTTTGGATCACTTTTCAAAGGAGCAGAGTGCTGCCAGAAATCTCTGCAGGAGAAACACTGCGGGTGACGGAGCCACGGCGGGTGTAACAGCTCAGTCAAGTGCTGATTGTCATGTTAAAATAAAATGAAATCAAGCACAAACCTGATATTAACTTACATTACTGACACTACTGACTGGGATTCCAAATGTAATTCTTGGTGTTCAGGATCAGATTTCAGAAATTTAATATGTATGAATTTTTGGTGTAAGTGTTTTTTGAAATACATTACTCTGTAAAGATGATAACATTACATATATTTGGCTTGAAATCGGCTCCCCTGTCAGGATTTATTTTTTCACTTATAAAGTGCTTTTACTATCAATAATAATAATAATAATAATAATATGTGATATATATACAATTGTCTAACCATGTAATAAAAGCCATAAGGAAGACAGGCCAGGTATTCTCCCTGCAGTGGTCTTACATCTGGAACATTCATTTGTGAAGCACAAGTCTGCAGTGTTACTTCTGTTTACTTTTGAATCAACACATCAGTAAATCCTTGAAGACTGTTTTACTGGTGTTTTAAATGATGGAGAATCCGCACTCCTAGCTGAGAAACCCAGTTACACTCTTACAGACAGATTTTCCTTTTTAAAAGATATATTTACAGATATATTGTCACACTGATACCTGGATTCTTGCTGGTATATTGATGGTATACTGATTTTTCCTACATTACACGTCATACAGCACAAAAACATATTTTACACAATTGGTTTGTAGATGTATGATAAATTCATTATGCATCTGAAGCCACCTAATTGTGCCTCAGAGAATTCACGGGGGATAAAACTTGATTTTTTTCCCCCTCTTTAATCAGCAGTAACCTTTGCTGAGCTGCTGAAATCAGATTCTCACCCCGGTTAACACAGCTGAAAGACTGACTAGACAACAGACTTAACGCTATATTTCACAGCCGCTTCATTTTACAAGTTTCAGTAAACTTTCCATTAATGTTCACCCTCTATGTTCATTATTTATACACAAATCAGATAAACCAGAACAAAGGTTGTTATGGCCAGAAACGTAGTTCAGAAATCATTTTATGCATCTTATACATCTACCTTGAAGGTTCACTTTAATATTATAAATTGTAGACAAGCCACATGTATCCAGTTTCAATTAAATCTTGGGACTAAATTATACATTGAATTAAGGAATTTGAGTATGAAATGAAATACATTTAGTTTTTCGAAGACGCAGATATTCCTGTATTAGTCCTGAAGGATGCTGTGTTGAATTTAGCTTTCATCACGAGATTATCGTCTTGCCTCAGCTTATAATGGCAAAGAGAGGATGTGTCCTTACCGTTGGCCCGGCTTATCCAGACTTGCCTGCACGTTTTCCACTTCAGCTGACCTCCGGATCAGAGCCGCGCCGACATTCCAGCACGAGGAGCAGAAGGATGCGGAGAAGCTGGAGCGCGGTACCCGGGCTGTCCGACCATGTGGGCATCGAGAGCCCGCCAATGCCCCCGGGGATGGTAGCAAATCTCAAACTCTTCAGCACCTTAGGATCTCGGGACCAGAGTCATTCTTCCATGGGCTTTCAGTTTTGAAAAAATAACCAGAAATTTCCATTTTGCTTGTTGGGGTCACCGATCTGTTGGTTAATGATTATAAGCTTTTTTGAGGCTAAAAACTTATCAAAATCAAAATATTGTTTTGTGAAGCCAAACATATGACTGATATTTCAAAAAAATTAAGAAGTTTTTAATGAGTAACTCATCAAAATGTAAGATATGCGGAAGAAAAGAAGAAAATCTTATTGAACATCAGGGTTCAAATGCTTGTCGTCAGCAACATCACACCCTGATTGTTTTAAATTAACAGTACGTGGCCTTTTTTCTACATTTGAGCATCTGTGAGCATCACCGGAACTGATTAATTCACTGAGTCATCGCTATGACATGTTCACCAAAATTATGTTTTCACTTACGTCTTGAGAAAGTACTGAAAACCGTCACACTGCCATCCTCCAATTTCTGCCAGTTCCTTTCACTCTGAGCTTCCGTCAGATCCAGGCATTAGCTGCCCATCAGCAAAACACACAGTTACTGACAGAACAACAAAGCCACGCTGGCGGGATAACTTCTCGAAGGTACTTTCCTCCAGTGCTGAGCTTCTCTCCCAGCTGAGTGCCCAGCTTCAGCTTCAGCCTGCTGCACTCTAGGTAGGATGAGCTGTTGAGGAGTGGTGTCAGTGGAGGGGGCGGTGCCACGTGAGGGCGTGTGCGTGAGGCACCCAATGGGAGCGTCAGGTTGCTGCTAATATGCTAATGAGGCAGCACTGGATCTGGCAGGTCTGGGAGAAGCAGACGAAGTGGTTGCTTGCCTGCGCCTGTCTCTTGAACTGGCCAGGGAGGTGCTCAGCTCCTGCTGCTTCAGCACAAGGCCTGCTGCAGTCAGTGCAGGGTTTCCCAGTCTGGTCCTCAGGGACTCGCAAACAGTCCACGTTTTTGCTACCAGGAGCTGGGAGGGAGCAAAACACGTGGAGCGGTTGGGGGGCCCTGAGGACTGGGATGGGAAACACTACCCTAGCGAGACAGTGTGAGCCCCGTTTGCCATTATACAGGATTGTGGGAAAGATTGTGAGACTAGGTACTTCTAGCCTTTTGAAGCAGCCCTTCACTGTGTCTGTCACATTTCCTTTTCATTCATCTGCCTTTGCTATCCTTTGCATGTGTTTTTGTAAGCAAGCCAGTTTGAATCTTGTCTCTGTGCCGGGTTGTGTGGGATCTCTCTGAGTGTGTCTGGAGTGACCCTGTTCACTCTGTGTTGTGCAGGATCTCTCTGAGTGTGTCTGGAGTGTGCCTGTTCACTC